AGCCAAAACAAGGCTGCGAGGATCAGCAGACTATCAATTGCTCAAATTCAAGTTCAGGCTGAAACTGAAGAAAATGAAAACAAGTCCATGTAAGCCAAAATACGACCTTAAATAGAGAGACCCTGAATGTAGAGACCATCTCAAGAAAAGATTTGATGCATTAGGCACTAACGACGAAAGACCAGAAGAGTTGTGGAATGACATCAAGAAACTAATACATGAAGCAATAAAAAGATCATTTAAAAAACAGGAAAAAAAGGAAACGATCAAAGTGGATGTCAGAAAAGACTCTTGAAACTTGCACTTGTACACAGAGAAGCTAACGCAGCTGAAAGAAATAAGGAAGTAAAAGAACTCAACAGAATTTTTCAAAAGGCAGCTCAAAAAGACAAAGTCAAATACTATATTGAAATGTCGAAGACATGGAGTTAGAAAACCAAAAGGGATGAACACACTCAACATTTCTCAAGTTTAAAGAACTAAAGAAAAAAATTCAAGTCTCCAGTTGCAATATTGTAGGATACTGTGGTCAAAATAAGTGAATGGCATTGGAAACTTCAAAAGAAGATGGAAAGAGTACACAAAGACACTGTATCAAAAGAATTGGTTGATGTCCAATCATTTCAAGAGGTGTACTATATAATTAAGAATCGATGATATTGAAGGAACAAGTCCAATCAACACTGAAGGCATAGGCAAAAAACAGGGCACCAGGAATTAACAGAATATAAATGGAAATCTTTCAACAAAATGATGCAGCACTGGAGGCACTCATTTGTCTATGTCAAGAAATTTGGGGGACAGCTACCTAGCCAGTGATGCGAAGAGATCCATATTTCTGTCAATTCCAAAGAAAGGTGACCCAGTGGAATGTGAAAATCACTTAACAATATCATTAAAATCACATGCAAGTAAAATTTTGCTGAAGATAATTTAAAAATGATTGCAGTAGTACATTGGCAGGGATCTGCCAGAAATTCAGATCAGATTAAGAAGAGGATGTGAAACGAGGGATATCATTGCTGATGTCAGATGGATCTTGGCTGAAAGCAGGTAATACTAAAAATATGTTTGCTGATACTTTATTGACTCTGTAAAGGCATTCAACTCTATGGATCATAACAAACTGTGGATGACATTTTGAAGAACGAGTATTCCAAAACACTGAATTGTGCTCATGAGGAATCTGTACGTAGACAAGAAGCAGTCAGAACAAGGGAACACTGAATGGCTTAAAATCCGGAAAGGTGTGCACCAGGGTTGTATTGTTTCATTGATATTTTATCAGTCTGTATACTGAGCAAATAATCCAAGAAAATGGATTATATGAAGAAGAACGTGACACAATCTTGCTTGCTTTAAGTGAAGAGGATTTGAAATACATACAGATGAAGTTCAAAGACTACATTCAGTATGGATTGCCCCTCAGTGTAGAAAAAACAAAAATCCTCACAAGTGGACCAATAAATAACATCGTGATAAATGGTGAAAGATGAAAATTGTCAGACTTCCATTTGCGTGAATCCACAATCAATGTTAATAGAAGCGGCAGTCAAGAAATCAGGTGATGTACTGCATTAGTCAAATCCACTGCAAAAGACCCTTTAAAATGTTAAACAGCAAAGATAAACAGTTTGAGAACTGTTTAAGGTGTACCTGACCCAAGCCATGGTATTTTCAACTGCCTCGTATATGTGAAAGTTGGACAGTAAATAAGGAATACCACAGAAGTATTGATGCATTTGAATTATGGTGTTGGCAAAGTTTAATGAGAGTCCCTGGAGAAGAACATCATGGTTGGTAAAGTGAAGGGTCAGAGAAAAAGACCCCCAATGAGATGGACTGACGCAGTGGCAACAGCATTGAGCTCAAATGTAACAGCAATTGTGAGCATGGCTCAGGACCAGATACTGTTTTATTCTGTTGTGCATAATGTTACTATGAGTCAGAACCGATTAGAAGGTACCTAACAACAACATGCCCTCTGACCTATAGATTTGTGCACTTACAGAAGGGTTCGGTTTTTGTAGTAAAGAGTTTGAAAAAGATGCCCCTCATTGTAAACTAAGGATCTCTGGTAGTATAGTGGTTACGAACCAGGGTGCTAACCTCAACGTCAGTCGTTTGAAACTACCAGCGGTTCCGTGGGAGAAAGATGAGGCTTTCTGCTCCCGTAAAGATTTACAGCCTTGGAAACTCTGTACAGGGTCACTGTGAGTCGGAACCAACTCCATGGTACTTAACAACAACAATAACAGAGCGTAAGAAGGCACCCTGGTGTCACAATGGGTTAAGCATTGGGCTGCTAACTGCAAGCTAAGCAGTTCAAATCCACCAGTGGCGGCTCCACAGGAAAAAAATAAGACTTTCCTCTCCTAAAGATTTACTTTACTGTCTTAGAACCTCTTAAGGAGCATTCTGTGCTCTAGGGTCACTGAGTTGGGGTTGACTTGAGGGCAGTGGAGTGGTTTCTAGATTATAAATTGATGCCTGTCACAACAGAAGCACTTAGAGCGTTTGTACGTAATAGAGCCAGTAGGATGAGTGATTAAGCTGAGTGGTGAGAGGAGGAATCATTCATATGCAGGTTATTGAAGGAGGGACTCTGGGGAGGGATGTCCTAACCATGTATGTTTTGTTTCAGATAGGTGTTTCTTTTGGACCTGGTAACTCTATGTGAAAGGAGCTCTGGTAACGTAGTGGTTATGAGTTGGTATGCCAACCACAGTGTCAGCAGTTTGAAACTACCAGCTGTTACATGCAAGAAAGATGAGGTTTTCTGTTTCTATAAAGATTTACAGCCTCGGAAGCCCTATACAGGATCACTATGAGTCGGAACCATCTCTACAGCACATAACCATCACCATCAACTATATGTGACATTGTAGGATAGGCACTGGAATGCTTACCTGCAAGGTCGCTGGTTCAAACCCACCAGCCACTCCTCAGAAACACTATGCAGGGTTACTATGAGTCAGAACCAACTTGGCGACACTTAACAATAATAACTATATTTCATCAAGTGAGAATGAGGGGACTTCAGAAAATTCACTGAAAAATGAAATTGAAAGATAATGGACTCTCTCCACCAGCTTTGTCAAGCCCTTTGCTACGTAGAAAAATTCAAATAAGAAAAATCAATACAAAGTAATGTTCTATTATTTCGATTTTCTGCACAACTGATCAGCATGCTTATTTGTATAAGAGCCCTAGTATTCCTCTTTGGAGACGATGCTCTGAAGAATATAGAAGGAATTCTCCATTCTTCCCTTACTCACACAGACAGAGATAGGGAAATATCTTTTCCATTGAAAATCTATTTAGATTGTATTTTCCTCTTTGCAAACTCTAACCAGTATAATTATTATTCTAATAGAACACAGAAAGCCTCCTAAAAACGATTTGATTTTTGTACTTTAAAATAGATGTTTTATGAGTTAATATCTTGGTAAATTATACTAAAGGAGTCTCTGTTTATACTTGATCAGTTCAATTCTGTTGTTAATGCCATCGAGTCGGTGAGAATTTCCAGTGACCCTGAGAAGCAGAGTAGGGTTTCCTGGGCTGTAATCTTTATGGGAGCAGATCTCAAGTCTTTTCTCCCAAGGAGCTGTTGGTAGGCTCAAACCACCAACCTTTCGGTTACCAGCCGAATGCTTGTCCATTGGTCCTCTTGGGCTCCTTAGCTTAATTTTAATAACCAGGCAATGATTAAGTCTTGAATAAGCTAGCTATTATGGACCATAGGGTCACAATTCATAGCCACTACATTTTTAACATCTCAGAATGTTACAAAATTGTTTTTTATCCAAGGTAAAAATGAATTCTCTTTAATTAAAAACATACCATGTCAAGCACATTGACAAAGCTCAAAAATATAGAAGTCTTTTTCTCACTCATGTGTTTCCTCTACCATGGTGGTGGTGGTTATGTGCCGTGGAGTCGGTTCTGATTCATAGCAACCCTGTATAGGATGTTGAGACTAAATCTTTCCAGGAGCAGAAAGCCTCATCTTTCTCTTGCAGAACGGCTGGTAGTTTCAAACTGCTGACCTTGAGGTTAACAGCCCAACTGGTAACCACTATACTACCAGAGATTACCTCCCAGTCGCCCCCATGTATCTTATTTAATTTTTCCTAATGTATCTTTCCAGTGTTTAAGCAAATTCAAGCAAACATGAATACAAATACTTACTTCTCCCCTTTCTTACTCAAAATGTAATAATAGTATTTTAACACATACTATGTTGTTAAGTGCCGTCGAGTCAATTCTGACCCATAGCAACCCTGTAGAGGGTTTTCGAGGAGCAGCTGGTGAGCTTGAACTGGTAACCTTGCAGTTCAAATGGCTTTGCAGTCTGGTGATTAACCCACAGCGCCACACCAGGACTCCAACAAATACTATACAAACACAAAAATGCTGTTTGACATCTTGGTTTATTTAGTGATATGTCCTATATGTTGTTGTTGTTGTTCTGTGCTGTTGAGTCCTATATATTTATGCATAAATTCATACAAATGTAATCCTTTTTTAAAAAAATAAACAGTTGCATTAACTCACTTTAGTCTTAAAAATAAGTATATGCACAAAAATGACTTGAATCCAAGTTATTTAAGTAGCATTTACTCTCCTTCACATGTTTCCCTCATTTAAAAATTGTATTATTCTAGATTTGTTTGTGTTCCAATAAAATAAAAGTAAATAATGTTTAAATTTTAAAAATAAGTATATGCTGCATTAATATAACCTCAAGGTTGGCAGTTCAAACCTGCTAGTCGAGTTGGAGCTGATTCGGCGCACTTAACAACAAGATAGGATTACATGTTGTGGGTAAGTGTAAAAATAAAGTTTGAAATTTCTTATCTAACAGCAGGAGGAGTGAAGATATGATTAAAAATGAAAATACAAGTTGTATTTCATTATGGTAAATCTAGTGGGTACTGGACTCCTAGGATGGTACATGTAGGGCCGGCATTGGATGGAGAACCATGAAGACAGCAGTTCAAACCCAACAGCTGCTCCTTGGAAACCTTATACAGGGTCGCTATGAGTCAGAACTGACTCGACTGTGCTTAACAACACCAATAGTAATTGGCAGCAGTAATTTGTTTTTAAGTATCTGATTGAAAATGGGAAGTTTTAGGCTAAGTATTGATTGACTTTAATTTCTGAGATTGTATGCAATATGGCTTGACCAGTATGGTCCACAGACACTTTTGTCACAAATGCAGTCATTTAATCTGCTTTTGAGAGAGATATATGGAATACCAATGTTTGGTAGAAAAAAGATCTATGTAATTCATTGGATTTTGCCATCTTTTAAATACTTTCCTTAGGCGAGCGCATTGACTCTATATGATAAGCACTTGACTGTGAACTACAAGGTCAGTGGTTTGAGACCACCAGCCACTCCATGGGAGAAAAATGAGACTTTCTGCTCCCACAAAAATGTACCGCCTCAGAAACCCTGTACAGTGTCATGCTATGAGTGTGAACAGGCTAGATGGCACTTAACCGCAGCAGCATTTAGACTTAGAGTTAGTAAGAATAGGTAGCCTCCTTTCACTGGGTGCTTTCCTAGGGTGATATGTCGATACACAAGACACTCTACTCTGGTAGCGTAGTGGTTACGAATTGGGCTGCCAACTTCAAGGTCAGCAGTTCGAAACTACCAACTGTCCTGCAGGAGAAAGATGAGGCTTTCTGCTCCCGTAAAGATTTGCAGCCTTGGAAACCCTATGTAGGGTCACTGTGAGTCGGGACCGACTCCATGGTACTTAACAACAATATGGATTACATACATGATACAAGCTTGATTATTGCTTCTAAGCAACATTCCCTGTCTCTACTAGTGTAGCAGTAGTGTTCAAGGAAAAAGAGTTCTTAAAATTCTTTTACTATCATCAGAAATAGACCATCAAGTAATTTGTTATTGTTGTGTGCTATCAAGTTGGTTGCAACTCATAGCGACCTTGTATAGGGTTTCCGAGAGTGGCTGGTAGATTTGTACTGCTGACCTTGTATCCACTGCTTATTCTACAGTGCCACCCCAGTGCTCAAGTAGTTTGTTATTATTAAGTGTCATCAAGTTGTTGTTTGTTGTTGTTAGGTGCCATCGAGTCGGTATCTGAAGAAAACACTGCCCGATCCTGGGCCAACCTCACTATTGTTTGTTTTTGTTGTTAAGTGCCATCAAGTCAGTTCTAACCCATAGCAACCCAGTATAGGGTTTCCAAGGAGCAGCTGGTGAGCTTGAACCACCAACCTTGCAGTTTAAACGGCTTTGCAGTCTGGCACATTAACCCACAGGGACACACTATTGTTTAGTAGTTATTTAAATATAGATGTTGTTGAGTGCCATCAAGTTAGTTCCAACTCATTGCGACCCTGTATACATTTCCGAGGAGCATCTGATAAGTTTGAACCACCAGTGCTTATTCTACAGCACCATGACCTCAAACATATATATAAACATAGTTAAATATATAGGAGTCTTGATGTGTCACTCTAGGATAAGCACTGGACTGCCAACTGCAAGGCTGGAAGTTCAAACCACCAGCCACTCCTCAGAAACCTATACAGGGTTGCTATGAGTCAGAACTGGCACTTACCAACAACAGTTTAATACATATTTATACATATAATTACTAGTTCTTATGTCTGTGATAATGACTGGCTCAATGAAGGTATCTTATGAATGAAAACTATTAATGAAATCCATTATTTTGTAGGTTAAAGTATATTTAAAGAAGGAGTTTGAAAAACATGGCGCAGTGGTGAATGAAAGCCATCATGATGTTTTGGTGGAGGATATTTTTGATAAAGAAGATGAAGACAAAGATGGATTTATATCTGCCAGAGAATTTACATATAAACATGATGAGTTATAGAGACAAATCTACTCATTTTATACCACATGGACGAGGTGGCCATCTTTGAAGAAAGTCTTATTTTTTAACAGTGTTCTGTTCTTGATGTTTGTTTGTTTTGCTTTGTTTTTATAATTTTCCTAAATATTATTTAAAGAACTCCTTAAGGTTCCTAAGTGCCCATTTCTTTCTGTTGAGTTATTGTGAAGAAAAAAATAATTTGTCTTTGAATGGAAGACTTCTGGACCATTTTCCACCTTCACATATGATATTTATGTTTTATTTGCTTCCTTGTAATTTTAAAATATTGCAGCGGGGGACATGCCATAACATGAGACCAGGTTGTTGTTAAGTACCATCAGGTAGATTCCAACTCATAGTCACCCGATTAGAGTTTCTGAGGAGAAGCTAGTGGCTTTGAATAGCTGACCTTGTAGTTTGCAGTCCAGTGCTTTTCCTACAGGGCCACACCAGAAGTCCTGAGACCAGGTTGTTGTCGTTAATTGCCGTTGAGTCGATTGCGACCCAGAGACCCTGTATAGGATTTCCAAGGAGTAGCTGGTGAGCTTGAACTGCTGACCTTGCAGTTCAAACGGCTTTACAGTCTGGCACATTAACCCACAGTGCCACCCCAGGACTCTGAGACCAGGTTGTTGTTGTTGTGAAGTGCCATCGATTCGATTCCGACCCATGGTGACCCTGTATAGGTTTTCCGAGGAGCAGCTGGTGAGCTTGAACCGCCGACCTTGCAGTTCAAACAACTTTGCAGTCTGGCTCCTTAACCCACAGTGCCACACCAGGACTCTAGTTAGCACCCTACATTTCTCCTCTTTGCTTTCTTCAAATTAGATACTGACATATTTGAAAAGCCTTTTATAATATCCCAAGACTTAATATTTTCATTTTATACTGAAATAGCTTGTCTTTGACTGGCTTTGAGCCTTTGCTTGAGGAAAATAGCTGTTGGACTTTGCTAAGAGCTACTGCTTTACTAAGAGAGGTGCAATGCTGAAATGAATAACAAAGCTGGTGGTTGTTACTATGTGTCATTGAGTCGGTTTTTACTCATAGCAACTCTGTACAGGGTTTTCCAAGAGCTGCTAGTGAGTTTGAACTACTGACCTTGCAGTTAGCACCATTAGCAGTCTAGTATTTATCCTACAGTGCTACACCAGGACTTAATACAATGGTAGTAACTTATAAATACGTATCCATTCAAATATTCTTCTTAGGATTTAAAAGGCTAGATTAAGTTCCATTCCTAGCGGCTGATGACCTATCCTGATAAATAGAACACATTACTGATGTGTTTGTTACTTTTTAATTAAAATGTGTCACAGCATTTTGGACAAGGTTGTTGTTATTGTTGTTGACTGCTGTTGAGTTGTTGCCGACTCATAGTGACCCTGTGTATAGTTTCTGAGGAATGGCTGGTGAGTTTGAACCACCAATCGTATGATTCAGATGACCTTGAGACCCAGTGCTTATCCTATAGCACCACACCAGGGCTCCATAGACAAGGTTGTTATTAAATGCCAATGAGTCTATTCTGACCCATAGCAACCCTGTATTGTGTTTCCAAGGAGCGACTGGTGAGCTTGAGCCGCAAAACTTTAAGTTCAAACCAACTTTGCAGTTCAGCGCATTAACCCACAGCACCACACCAGGACTCCTTAGACAAAATCGAGTTATTTATTCGCTGTTTTCAAGGCTAATAGATTTCCTGGTTCTTTGGTCAATAAAATCTTTAGTGTGTTATGGTACAGTGGCATTCTATTGTAAGTGAAATTAGTAAGCCAGTAATGACTTAACTCTGCACTGACAGGATGAACATATATTCCAAGTAAATATTTTAGGCCAAAATTGCTGTTCTGAAAACAAGGAAGTGAGGTTTTTAGGCTCGTCAGTATTCAACTGTGTCTTTGCTGGCAAGCTAAAAACCAAGTGGAGACTTTATCATAGAAATTTTCCCATTTCTGCATCCTCAAAAAACGAAGTTGTCCTATACCAGTTACTATTGAATGTTGTTGTTGTTAAGTGCCTTCTAGTTGGTTCCGACCGATAGCGACCCTGTATAAGGTTTCCAAGGAGTGGCTGGTGAGCTTAAACTGCCAACCTAGCAGTTCAAACGAACTTTGCAGTCCAGCGCATTAACCCACAGTGCCATACCAAGACTCCGTTACCATTGAAGCGTTGTTGTTGTTAAGTGTCCTCAAGTCAGTTCCGACCCATAGCGACCCTGTATAGGGTTTCTGAGGAGCAGCTGGTAAGCTTGAACCACCAACCTTGCAGTTCAAATGGTTTTGCAGTCCAATGCATTAACCCACAGTGCCACACCAGGACTCCTTACCATTGAATAGAGACATGTTATTGTTGGTGATGTTAAGTGCTGTCAACTTAGTTTCAACTCGTAGTGACTTATGCACATCCAGTCAAAACACTGCCTGGTCCTGCACCCTCCTCACAACCATTGTTACCCTGGAGCCCATAGCTGATGCCACTGTGCCAATCTATGCCACTGGGGGTCTTCCTCTTTTTTTCTGACTTCCACTTTACCAAACAGGATGTCCTCCAGGATCTGATCCCTGCTGATAATATGTCTGGATACAAAAATTGATGATTTCACCATTGTATCTGACATTGGGTTTTATCTGTCATACTTGTAAAGCATGACCAAATCTCCATTTACTAAAAAAAGTCTTTTATAGATTACAAAGTGATACCAAGTACATTAACATCTTTGGTTCTACTTGCTCGGAAGCCTCTGAGCTAAGCATAGATCTTACTGTACCAATTTTATAGATGAAGAATTAAACATTCAAAGGGATTGTTTGTTCTGCCCCTGGTCAACAGCTATCCAGAAGAACCAGTGTTTAGATCCCATGTTTGGTTTTTTCCTGTGGTCCTCTGAAAGAGGACTGAAAAAAATGAGCATTTTCTTGGAATTCTTTGGTTCTAATTTTCTGTTCAATTTGTTCTTTAGGTCTTTATCCTATGATAATGGTCTACTGGCCTCGCTGTCACTTTAGAATTCTCAGGGTCCAGGAAAGACTGTGGTTTTATATAATAGTCTTGGGGTTAGCACCAAATTACCTCATAAACCCTGTATGTAGGAGAAGTCCTAGGAGAGTGTTTTATTCCTTTCATTTCTATTTACCAATAGGTTTTTTGTTTTCTTTTTTTAAGAATTATGAACATTTATTGCCTCCTGGTGTGGCGCTGTAGGATAAGCACTGGACTGCTAACCATGTGGTCAGCTGTTCAAACCCACTTAACAGCAGCAATAACAGCATCGTATCACCTATAAACTACTTTCATAGATTGTATATTGACTTGTGGTGGTGTGTGCCAACTCATAGCAATCCTGTATAGAGTTTTCAAAGAGTCGCCGGTGGATTTGAACCAGCAACCTTGTGGTTAGCAGTACAGTGCTTGACGTACAGTGCAACACCAGGACTTTGTATATGGACATATTCCTCACTAGATTATAAAGTTCTTGGGAAGAACATGCAAAACACCCTTCCCTGACAAAATCAACTCTCTTTGAAAACTCATACCATGTCATCAATGATATTTTCCTAGATCTGGAAGACTTAACAGCCACAATACAGAAAACCCATCTTTTCTTACGGGAGAAAGGAAAGTGTCTTGTCCAATGGTGCTAGTTTGAATAAACATTGGCAGTGCTATCTAGGTAGCCAAGGTCAAGTTGAATGAATTTTGATTATTCAAGCAGCATATTCCTTTATCTCATTAATTTTTAGCAGTTCTCATATTTAATAGTTAAGATATAAGTGTGAAATGAAAACATATACATAGCTTATGGTTGTTTTTAAATTACCTGCCATTTTATTACAGCTGCTCCTTTGTACCATTCCATTAATGGGAATAATAAGAAATGAACTGTGATTTCCACATGTGTATAATTTGACTAGATATGTCATATTGAACTTTATATAAATATGTTGTGTCTTTTTTTTTCAAAATAAAGTTTATTTGGAAGTAATTGGTTTTGTGAAAAGTTCTTAAAGCACCAATTTTTTCAGCAGCTTTATTGATTTTCTTAACTGTAATTTTAGGTTTTGGGTTTTTATGGGAAAAATACTCATCTTTTTATTTTTTTAATTTAAAAAATCAAATTGTATTATAAGATTTTAATTAAATAAACCTGGGGAAAAATAGCAAAGAACTTCTTTTCCAGAGATGCAAAGGTTGGTTTATTTCTTCTTAACCCACTTTACCTTGAATTGAAATATAAAATGTCAAATATGGTTAAAAATTCATATTCTAATTTCAAGAGAAATTAGAACTATAGTTATTCTTGCTAATTTCCAGGGAGCTGACTTTGACTCAAGACAGCCTTATGTATATATAACAGTGAAATGATGCCTGTCTTGGAGCCATCCTCATGACCCTTGGATTGTGTGAGTCCACTGTGGCCATGGGTCAGTCTGTCCCACTGAGAGTTTCTGCCAATCCGCTACTAAATACAATGACCTTTTTTAGTAATCAGGTTTTCCTGATGGATCCAAAGTAAGTGAGTCAAAGTGTCTCCATCCCTGTATCTAAGAAACATTCTGGTTGTATGTCTTCTATTAATATCTGTAGCATTCTTTTGTAAAAGGATTCTTTTTAATAGGACTTGCATATTCCCTTTGTTGTTGTTTAGTACCATCAAGTCAGTTCTGATTCATAGTGACCCTGTATAGGGTTTCCAAGGAGCGACTGATGAGTTTGAACTGCTGACCTTGTGCTTCAAACCAATCTTGTTAACCAGTGCATTGTCCCACAGTGCGCTATCCCTTTAGTACAATAAAAATCTGTACATTCTTATAGATAGGTTGGAGTCTTTATTTCAAAGTAAACTCTTCTCTCTTTAAATGTTGTTTTCGTTTCTTTCTGCCTTGTTCCACCAACTCCTTGATTCAGGCTGACAGCAGGAAGAATCCTTAGCAAACACTAGACTGGAACTCTGTCTTTCAATTCAGTGGAGACACTCCTTGGTTCCTAAAGGCAAAATACAGTAATGATTCACAGATTTTAGGACATGCCAAAGTGACATGGGGTATGTATTAAAAGTGAAGATTTCTAGTGAATAATTGTTATCATGACTGATTGCGATTCTTGCAAATGTAAAGGTAGACCTTTTGTAACAAAAGGAGGGGAGTGGTTGATCTTGCAGTCCAGAAGAGGAGGCCCCTAGGACCATCAAGGGAACAGAGCGGAGTGTGGGACACTATTACACTGTCCAGAGAAGTGGGTCCTTATCTAGAGAAGCAGCATCGCCAGAGATGGAGGCAGAGAGGATGGAG